GGGAGACGGTCATTCAACAAAGCCAAATCACATTAGGGGAAGACTTCATCTTTGGCAATCCTAAACTCTCCACGGTATGTGGAAATCCACCATAGACACTGGGCATCCTTACATTTGACAATGAGACACCCCTTTAAAGATGTGTCAACCTTGTACAAAAAATTCCCTTTAATCACTTTCAATCGAAGCCTTCTCGACAAATCTTGCTTGTCAACAAAAAGGTCACCCTTTTTCAAATATGGCTTTGCCAATCTGTGTTTCCCTCAACACCATAGCTTAGGCTTTTCAAGTAAGCATAAGAATTGACGGTATATTTATTTGTGTTTTCCACAATCATACTTCTCTTACCCTTCCAGTTTTCGACACGTACACCTCCATTTGGTTGTACCTTATTATTGTCAACCATGGACATCACATTTTGAGTTGTAAGAGTGGTCACTCCAGTTGAATCAAATCCGTACTACCATGATTCAAAGTCCACCATGGTAACTTAATCTATGTCATCGCCATCTTCAAAAGGCACCTCTGTAGTACCCCAAGACCTTTTGTTTGCCAGCTAAAGTACTTGTTACTTCAAACATTGCATTCGACCATAATGGGACCTTAATGGGAGGTAGGTTCATACAGCCCGAGATATAGAGCATGGATACATATATAGGTGCCACTTTGGTACCAATAACTTATACTCCAAAAAACACCGCATGTCACTATCATCCCCAATAAACACAAATTTGTTTGCATGGGACCTAATTCGAATTGAGTAGGCAAGAATAGCCATGTCAGCACCACAACATGAGATCTTCAAAACAATCTCTAAAAACTCAAGTAATTTAATAGATTTAGACACAACTCTTTTCTCTTCACTGCCTACGTACTCCTTTTCCTTATTGGATGTAACCCACCTCCCACTATGACAAATCATTATAGGTACTTCCCCCATGTTTTGTTCCACAAACTTGAAATTACACATAACTTAGGTGCATCAGAACTAGTAAACAATCGGGATTATGATATTAAAGTACAGACAAGCGCACCATATGCACAATATATGCCCAACCTATGCATAGAATATGTTCAACATATACACACCATATGCACACCATGGAAAAAATTGGTCAAATTTGTGGAATACCACACTTCAAACAAAAATTGGAACATACCCACCATATCCGTAAATCATTCATATAGAAACTTGGAAATAAACACCCTACCTTAGTACCCTCGAAAACCAAGCACAAATGTGCTTGCCAAACCTTCAATCGCCGGAAGAGATGGAATTTTAGTTGGCAGAAGAATTCTTGTGTTTGGCAATGGAAAAACTTTTTCTGCTAACACATAAACAAGAGAGGGAAAAATGGCAAGAACAAGGCAAACCTTGGAACAATGAGCTATGGGCCTAAGGACTATCTTAACCACCTCACCTTTATGTCTCATCACCTTTATTGTCAACTTGGGTTACCTCCAAAACCGAAAAACCATGTACAAAGAGAGGGAAACCTGCAAAGGTCCCTTAAATAATAATAATAATAATAATAATAATAATAATAATAATATATTATAAAAGCAATGGATTTTGTTTGGGTACTTAGTGATATGTTACCTTGTATATAAGGTAAAGAAAGGGAAGACTTTTTTTTTCCCACAAATTGGAAGCTACACACTGCTATGAATTCCCATAGCTTTTGATCCACATCATGCTAAAAAGGCATTCCACTTCTCAGATAGCCAAAACAATTCACAACACATAATGTCCAAGTGGAGACATAAAACTGAGTGTTTTAACGCCGAGTTAAATTCGTGGTACAACCTCGTTTTGTTAACTATTATATGGTGATAACAGTATTGTGGAATGTAATTGCTAACTATTACACGATAATAAACAATAAAGACTACATGTGTTTGTTATCTAAGCCACATTCCATGTCCCAAAGTACCTTAATGTGAAAAGTATGAAATATGTAAATACACATTATATACACTGTACATATGACGTAGATGACATAAACACTATATCATTGTACACACGTCATGCAAAGGATGTGCACATGTTATGTACATACAGTGCACATGTCAAGCACATAAAATATGTACTATATGCACATGACAAGAAGATAAAATATACAATATATGCACATATTATGCATAAAACTGGAGATTGGGCAGGGAGTTGCTTCTACCATTTATAAGACACCATTTACGTCATGCTATTTGTATAGTGGATACAATTACAACATAATCCACAAGGATCACATATATCCAAAAGATTGCAATTTGCACATTACACAACTCACAATGTCAAATTCATCAACCAAAATAATCATATCATATGTAACGACAGTAATGTGTACTTTACAATTCACAAAGTCAAAGTGTATATGTGTAAACCAAAATATTGACATATGGCTGCTGCAACAACCCTAATATGTTTGCCTCAACCACATAACAAAACACGATGATGGATGGTTAGATATTGACAAACCCAACTGAGCAAACAACAACAACCACTTCAATAACTTTGTTGAAATCCACTCTTGAAAATGTAATATCATCAATCCCAACAAGAAAAAAATCAAATATTTGACTTCGAATCCTTAACAAGTCAGTCAATGACTATCAATGTTTCTAGAGTTCTTGGAGGATATCATGAACCAACAAGCTTCCCTAGCGACAATGAATTTCAGATCCCTAGATAGCAAAATACGTTGGTCAACACAATTCATGTGTAAAACAAACACAATTCAAATGTAAAACAAACATATGCATATGTAACAAATAACACAAACATCGATCTGTTCAAAGTAAACCACCACAATGGGCAACCGTATTCCTTACAAAGTATGAAAAGGTTCACTTACATTTTTGTCAATCTCATTACGTACTACTAGCAGTGGAATACCATTTAGTGATGCCTTACTTAAGAGGTCATCAAGTTCTCTTCTTCAAACTTGCAAGTTATCACAATTAGCAGCAACAACAACATAACTGCAACGTGAAAAAAATGGACAAATTCAATAGAACATAAAGTTGGTTTTGGAAGATACAACATCTTATGGAAGACTGGCAATTGTATCACTGCATATGTAAACAAAAGACTAACAATTCTAGTGTCTCACTAGCAATAACTACAATGTTTACTGTCATAGTTGGGAAACAAAAAAAAAGAAAGAAAAAAAAACATTCAAATCATATGCCTATGAACTGTACAAATAAACCAAAACATACACAATAGAGGAAACTGCACAACAATATTTTTCCCGCATGATTCGAAACTTGGCTTAACCACCAAGATCCATCAAGTTTATTGTTGACATTCCATTTTCTTACTTTCTTCATCCAACCTGTACACAAAAGAGATTGCCTCAAGTAAGATAATTGTGCCAATGCAAATGCCTTAAGTAAGATAATTGTGCATTTCGTGTACAATTTCTTATATATTGTACTAAGATCTCTAATTCACAAACTTTTCAAACAAACACCAATTCGAGATCGTATTCACAAATATTTGCAAGTTCATAACAAAATGAACAAATATTAAGCATCAATTAAAATGCAAAACTCTAAGATTGAAACCCATAAATCTAAAATAACAAAACCCATAAACAAATAAAATTTCCGGAACACATTTCGAGCCCTCTCTTCCCCATCCCTCTTTTGTTCTACTTCCCATCTATGCAAATCCAAAAAATCTAATCGAACAAACTAATAATTAGTTGCAGAAATGAAGACAATGACCAAGTTTGAGAGAAAGAGATGAGAGAGACAAACGAACCTAATGGCAGTGGAAATATGGTTGTCGAAGCTTCACTGGTTGGAAAGAATGGAATTTTATGGCCAAAATGCAAAATTTGGTACAAAAATGATATTTTTAAGGATGAAACATTGATGCAAACAAGAAACCCTCACTTCGAATCTTCACTCTCGACTTCCCTCTATTCGAAATCGGAGCTTAAAGATCTGAGCTTAACCTAAAAACCCAGAGCTCACAGAGCTCTCGACATCCCTCTCCAAAAAATGAGAACAGTGATGAAATGAGTTGAGGATTTTTAGTATTTATATGTAGGCATTTTAGTAATTTCGGTTTTTTGCATGGTGTGTATGGCATGTGCATGGCCAGTTTGTCTTAATTTTGTCCCAAGATTAAGAAATTGTCCCATTTTGGGGGTATTTCCCTTTCTTCTATGTGTCTAGAATACTCTTTAGTTTCGTTAATTTTTTATCCAACCTCTCTCTAGACTCTTTGGAGAGTTCTTTCTTTTCTTCCTTTAGTTTCGTCCCCCATGACACTCATTTTCTCCATCATTTGTCTTGCAAAACCACAACCTTCAAAATTTTTCATGTGCAAAATTGTCCCCAAAACTACTCTCCTCCCTCTTTGTCTCTCAATTTCTCTTCGTCCCAAAGCTACTTTCTCCCCTTCTCTATCCCTTTCTCTCCGAAAATTTATGGGAAAAAGGAAAACTTTCTAGGAATTTTCAAGAATAAGGAAGAAATTTTCTATTAGGATTGTTGTTGTTATCATTTTGCATTTTTTGTTGAATTTTGTGTTGAGATTTAGGCAGTGGTAAGGCTAGGTTTCAGATTTGGGAAATGGGTTCGCAAACGGAGTTTGTCCAGAAGCATGCTTGCGAACTCGCATCGTGCGATCGTTTTTGGAGATGGGATTAGCAATCCCTTGGTTTTTGAGGGGTTTAGCTAAGACCGGCTAGTCCCTCCTTTAGTCGAAGTGAGTGAAAGCTACTCCTTAAACCTAGGCCCTCCAGGAAACAAACACAAGACTGGACTAAGGTTTAGTCCAATCTAGTCCAGTAAATTTTAGTGAGGGAAAACAAACACCCCAAGGGAGTGAACTAAGCCTGCCAATAAACTGGCAATAATGAGATTCAAATTTGTCTTTAGCAAGAATTGAACCTAAAACCTCTTACTTACAAGTAAAGATGAATATTACGAGACCGTAATACCAAGTGACATCTAGCTAGTTGTTAGGAGAGGGAAACCAGCGGTTATTGAACACGCACCAACCGCATAGATAGGATTGTTTTCCGTAACTACAATAAATCCAAACCACGACACTCTAGAAACTAGAGAATAATTACATATTGACAAGTGCTTAAAAATGGGAAAAGTATATACAAACTTTGTATTACAAAGGAATGAGGAGGAAAGAGGGAGAGACGGGAGGAAGGAGCTGAGAAGAGCTGAGGGATCTGGTTGTAACAGATTTAGCCTCTTCAGACAGGGTTCCTTACCCCCTGAAGAATCTTGTTGCTACGTGCTCTGCAATTCCCATACTTGAAGTTAAACCGGGCGACTCTATTCCAAAAAGGTTGATGAGACCAGATATCCCATGAACATCCTCCCCCTACATAGCCGTAAAATGATATATCAACAGAACTATCAATGTTGTACTGTACTAAACCTCTTCATCTATAAAGCAAACATAGCACCTACAAGTGTAAGATAGTGTCTTTAACACGTTTCAACCATATAAAAATATGACAAGACAGCTCCGCACACTACATTGAGTTTTAGAAACTAAAACCAGAGATTTTCCCAGGCCAATTTGTGCTAGGTGCTGTCACAGCAGTGAGATGGTTTTATTAGTTTATCACAAGATCTTGGGCAGAAAAGAAATTGCTTGGCTCAACGGAAAAATCAGTACTATGCACTTCTGGTTGTGTAGTAACTGATTAATATATATATATATATATATATATATATATATATATATATATATAGGGAAATGTTATTAACACTCCAAAAATCTCATTGTACACTTTTCACAAGTGTATTTTTCTTTCCTCATATAGAAAGTTTGGAGTGTAGAATGAGATTTTTGAAGTGCTAATAACAATTCCCTATATATATATAGGCTTTTTATATTAGCACCGCATAAAATGTTGAATGCACCCCACATTAAATTTTAATACTAAATGATTTATGTATCCTACTATGCAACGACAATTTTGACCATATTAGGTTTTAAAAAATAAAAAATTTCTAAATGCACCACAAATCACTTTCATTATTTATCTACATCAACTATCAAAACTCTTCCCACCCTCCATTTTTTTGTGGTTATTCTCAACTAGGTTTATCTAACAGAATAGAAAGTACAAAGCATTTAGGAAGCATGAATACTACAAATTGGATGAACACAGATATCCGATAGCCATAAAATTTGTTAGCAAACCATAATTTTTCATATGAAAAATGCCTACAAATTGGTAAGAGCTTTTGGTTTCATTACACGGGCCAAATATTGTTTCGTAAGATACTATATCAAAGCACAACTTAATCGTTCACATGTGTCAAAATCACCATCGAAAATTAATAGGCTACACAGGCAAGCCCTTGCCTGAACAATAGAGTAGACGAAAAATAAAATCATAGACCGTTTAATTTCTAAGATGTTAGAGCGTGATTCGGATGGTGAAGCAGAAAACTCGAGTCACAATTCAATGAGCCGACTAAGCTGTTTAAAAATGAACGAAAAACAACAGAGTAGAACAAAAAACAAAATCATAAGACGCTTAAAAATGAGTGTTACAAGATTTGAAAAATGTGGGGTGTATAGAAAAGGTGGGGTATGGAGAAAATGTGAGTTGTATGTTGAGAATGTGGGGTATGAGGGTATTACGGGGAAGTATGTGAGGTGTATTAAGATAATTTTTAATTAAAAAAGCAAATGTAGGGTGTATTAAGTATGTGGGGTTTAATACATGGGTTGTTAATATAATAAGCCTATATATATATATATATATATATATATATATATGTATATAAAGTACGTGAGGGATGTAGATTCTATTACTTTACATGCTCATGTATTCTAATCGATCGTAACTCTCATGCTAGATGAGACAACAATCAAATGAGTCCTAAAATCTCAGGTTCGGGCGTAGGACAAATATGCAAGAAACTACCTGTATCTGAAAATCAACTGGAGACTGTCGAGGACCTGAAAGCTTCGGTCAAATCCCTGCATAGCCTGGCTCAAGAGACCCATCCTTTAGATTTGGGTAGTACTTCCTTATCTCTGGGTAAAATAGCTCTTTGCGATTCATACATACAGAATAGTCAAACCTGTGACCAACACCTTGTCATGTTTTTAAGATTGTCCAACATCACACTCAACATCAGATGCACCTCAATCAGGTCATTAAGATTTTAGCCTAAAAGCATTAAGCATCCAAACAAACATGGGAACGTATATAAGCAACGATATATCCTAAAAAAACTCCCTACAAGAATATTGACATGACAATTTACAGTTCACCCTAGGACCTCCATTTGATCATTGTCTGAGGCGCAACATTAGTATCAAATGCATGCTCTAATGAAGCCTAACTTATGCAAGACACCAGAATTTGTTTCAATATAGGAAGGCAACATAATTTATGTACACAAATATAAATAAATAAAAAGGCTTAAGGAATATGCTCTTCTGTACAAGCATGGATAGAAATTTTTGGACTGAGTTGCGACCACTTAAACCAATAAAACATACTGGACAATGTAGACAGTACTACATAATATAATAGAGTGGACAACAGGGATAGAGAAATGGTACTTATTCAGGAAGCTTGAAACATCATCAACACCATCAATCCATTCTACATCAGGGCCAAACTTGACCTGACCATTTAAATCCAGGGTAACATGCACACCAAGGCCGCCATCCTCTGGTATAGGATAAATCAAGTGTCTGAACGGACAGATTGTAGTATTTGATAAAGTGAAGTAGCATCCACGAGCCAAATGGGAAGGAGGAATATGTTCAGTTCGGAGGCCATCAAATCGCTTTGCAAGGGCAGGGGCACTTAAGCCAGCAGAGTTCACAACTAGTTTAGGAATAAGTATCGTCTCTGGTTGCAACGGAAACTTTCCATTCCAATTTTCAAGGGTTTTGGTTTCAGAAACATGAAGGCATAGATGATTTTGTTGAATATGGCCACCAATAACAGTAGTATTATAGGAGAAGGTTGTGCCATGATTTTCAGCTTCTCCCTGCACCCATATGGGGATTAAGGGTGATATATACTAGATCGTATATAATCCAATATTCGATTAAATACCGAAATTTTACTGAAGCATGTACTTGAGTTGATCCCAGTGTAACTAAAATAGGAAACGAGAAAGAAGAGAATAGAAATACCACCAAAGATAGCATGAGCGAATGTGTATCCAGAATCCCAGAAAGTGGTGATAGTAAGGCTTTCAAACATGTCAATTCAGGTTCCATTCTCATGGCTTCTGAACCCTCCATCATTACCAAACCATCAACTCCATTTTGAATCCCACGATGCATTAGATTATGCAACTTGGGAATCTCGGAAGACCTAGTTGCAACTATGAGTTTACCAATTTGTTTATGAGGAATATTGTGTTGAGAGCAATATTTGTACAGCAAATCTCTTCCCCTAACACAAAACTTTGCCTGCCAAATGCGTTAAAAAGTTAAAGGATATATTGTGCTTTCAACATTCAAATTAAGAATTGGGAATTTCTTGACATTAAAGTTTATGACTTTTATATTTGATTTTGTGGGTACCTTGAGGGAATGGGTCGGGTAGTAGATGCCGGCATGGATCACCTCGCTGTTGCGGGAGCTGGTGGAAGTGCCGAAGGTGGGAGCTGAATCTAACACCAACACCTCTCTGCCCTTTAGAGCAAGCTCTCTCGCCACCGCCAATCCCACCACACCTGCCCCTATTACCACGCAATCTACCTTCTCTTTGGGAACTCCGCCGATGCTACTGATATTACTGATACTGCAACTAGAAGTAACATTACGATGACTCCTCACAATTCTGTCCAATGTGCTTTTCAGCATCTCTCTCTTTCTAAAACTCAACCGGTCCTCTCGAATGGACACTTAAAAGTTTCACATGAACATGACTTCGTTGAATTTCACTACTTCCACTAGAAATTCTATTCAGTGAAAAAGAAAAACCAAATTTCAAATGCATATTAACAATCCGCAAAAACTTGATAGCGTTGCTATGAAGAACAAGAATACCAAAACATTATCTATACATAAAAACAAACTTGTCCAATTGTCCAAAGGGGGTGATAATCAAACTCCTCATTTCCTCCTACCCAATATTTTGGTACATATCATGCATGTCAAAGGTTATAACTTTTTTATGCAATTAATTCATAAAGAACAGATGAACAAGAAAATTAAGACAAGGAAGCATCAACAAGAACCCAAATCACTGGCCATTTCATTTCCTATTCATCCATCTTGATAATGATAAACAAACCATCACAAAAACCTAAATCAAAAAATTATATTGACAGATCCGGACAACTGCAATGGATACCCAATACCTCCTGATTCGCTTACAACTTCGCAACCTGAGCTCGCGACGATGGGTTTTCTCCTTTTCTTCAGCTCGCCGGTTGTCCCTCTCTGTGTATGTTACAATGTTCTGTGTGAGACCAATTTACGGGTTTATCAGCAAATACACGATAATCAAGCATAGATTCTGTTCTCCCATTTATACGAAATTTTTTTCAGTGTGACGGACGTGTTTTTATATGTAATATGTAGACATTTTTATTTTTTAAGTTATTAACTTTTTAACACGAATATCTTACCATTTGTATAATGACATATAATATACCACTTCGTGTGCCAATCACATTGAAAAATCTATCCATTTATACAAGACAAACCCATTAGTAGTCAATAAACTCTCAAGTAAGATGTCGTCTTTTAGGACTACGTACTTTGTAATTTGTCCATTTTGACTTTGTTTTATGAATATTTTGTTGTAAAAGTTGTTGAAATAAATGTCCACATATTTTAGCCAAAGATGAAAAGTGAGAAAAACTTAAAAATAGTAGCATTATTGTTGTTGTATGATGTTTTTCAAAATGCATACATTTCACTTTTATGATTTTTCATGGATATAGCTATATTTTTCATGGATACACAAATATATTTGGTATCAGAGCCAAGTGGTTGGTAATTTCATTAGCATCTACTTGATCTATTTCTGATTCATACATTCTTATATTCTATCTGCATTTCTTAATCGTCGGTCCTCAGTTCTTCTTTCTTCCAGCCAAACAGTAAGACGTGGTCCAAACAATAAGTCCCAGGAGAGGCATGAGCGGGGGAAGAGTCTAGACATACGAGGAAGGTGAATCTTTTAAGTCTTGCATATAGCATATTTGTTTTTGTGTGCATCATGAGTAGATTATTTAGATCTAATTCAATGGCCAGCACTAGCTCTAGATCCAACTTAGGAACTATACCTGACATTGTCAATGAAGAACAAAAATTGGATTTTCAAACGGACGAAAGTACTGATTTTTCTGAGTGGAACATTCCAAAGGTTTCAACCCAAAATATTTACAAGAAGAAATGGTCTTTGACCTCTTTTAAATCAGAACATCACGTCAAAACAGTTGAGAAGGCTTATGCTCTTAGCAAAGAACATGAGACTTGTCAATTATTTTCTCCGGACCAAATCAAAGCGCATCGCAAAAATGGTCATAATTATCTTCATATTGGTTTAGTTCAAATCGCAGTTAAACCATTAACTCGAAAAGGTCTTAACACTTCTATCCTTTTATGTCTTCGCGACGCTAGATTTACTGATTTCAACGATAGTATACTCGAAATGATCGAATCTAGTCTTTACAATAGACCTATCCATTTTGATTGTTTTCCCGATCTCACAATAAATCTTTCAGATCCACATGTTTTAAAAGCTCTTACTCTTAATATCAAAACATCCGGGTACCAAGTCCTGGAAGGAACACAACCTTTGGCACTTATTTTTAGAATTTATTACAAAATCACTGGCACAAACATGAATTTTCAAGCTTTGAACAAAAGTCCTCGCGACCACACTCTTTTGATCCAAACAACCCAAGAAAGCGCAAACATACGAGTACCAAGAACCATTAGATGGTCAGACATCAGTCTCCCTTCAGATTGGTGTTTAATTAATGAAAGTAAGCCGGTTTCCGTCCAAAACAGTCTTGTTAATCTTGACAACATTGAACAATATTTTGACGGCACTGTAAAAATCAATTTTGATAGACCAGTAAGAAAATCTTGTGAATCAGTACGTTCACATAAATCTTTTACTCCAAGCAGACAGTCTTTTTCTGGATCCACGTCAACCGATAGACTGGGTCGAGATCAAGATTTAATCAAATCTTTAGTGAACAAAAAGTTAAAGGAGCAGGAAACTGCAAAACAAGATTTAATCAATGATTTCCTCAAATTAAAATCTGTCGACACTTCTTCACAAGTTGCACATCCTGTTTATCATCCTCCAAACCAAGAAGAACCCACTTCTCCAACTGCTTCTGATTTTGAAACAACATCGGTGAATCACCAATTACTTGTTTTAAACAAACCACATAAAATCCGATGGAGAAAGCTTAAAGCTGACATCGCTTCTGAGGAAAACATCTCCAGGAGAAATATTTTTAGAAAAAAGTATTGTGATGAAGAAAAGCTAGCCATTTATGCTGAATGGAAAGCTTTTGTAGAACAATACCAATTTGAAATATCTTTCTTTGATTTCATTGAAAAACATTATGAAACCAAAAATAAAGTTACGGTTGTTACCAAAGAAAATTGAGTTAAGGAAGACAAAACTTTGGTTTCCTCTAGTCATCCTCCCAAATAAACTATTTTAATTTCAACTGGTAATACCAACATTTCCCGCAACCCCTTTCAAAATTTCAAAAGAGGATTCTGGTTTTAAACCTGTCATCGAGCAGAATAATTTTACAAACCAAAATCTTCACACTATTGGAAAACAATTAGATAAAATTGAAACAAAAATTGACAAATTGTTTCAACCAAAATCTTCTCAAAAAGAAAAACCTTTAATAAATTTTACTAATACTTCTTCAAGTTCAACTGCTTTAAAATCTATGACTACTTTACAAAAAATTGATCATATGCTCACTGAGCTCAAAAAAGAGAAAGTTGTCAATGTTTTGCAAAACAATGATGTTTCTATTAAAGAAGAAAACACATCTGGCCCAGATTCTTCTCAGGACATGGAAACTAGTTCTGCTATCCAAAATATTGAAAATGTTTTTCAAAACATGGATCTTCAGCTAACTTTTGATTTAAAACGCATTCATACTCATCCTGTCAACCCTACTTCTCTTACAAAAAACTGGTATCCCAGGCCAACTCCCCCTGATCTTCAGTTTGAAGAAAGAAATATCCAAAATCAATTTTCAGTCTCTGCTGACAAACTCTATGAATGAAATATAGATGGATTGTCAGAACAAGAACTTTTGAACAAACTTTAACATATGTCCATGGTTGCTAATAGCTACATTTCAAATCACAATTTTAAACAAACACAAATCGTTGATCTTCTCGTCACTGGTTTTACTGGAATGCTTCATTCTTGGTGGGAGAAGCACTTAACTTCTCAGTCCAGAGATGAAATACGTTTTGCGGTCAAAAAAGATGAGGAAGGACTTCCCATCTTTGATGAAACGATAGGACAAGGAATACCCGACGGAGTAAATACTTTACTTTATACGATTATAGAACACTTTATAGGAACACCCAGCAACGTCACTACTCGTATTCACGACCAACTGAGTAATTTAAGGTGTCCAACCTTAAGTGATTTCAAATGGTATAAAGATGTTTTCATATCCAGAGTTATGCTTAGGGAAAATAGTAATCAACTCTTTTGGAAAGAAAAATTTATCAATGGTTTGCCAAATCTTTTTGCTCACAAAATCCGAAATGTTTTAGTAAACGAAGAAGGTGTCATACCTTATCATACCCTTACTTATGGTAACATAGTTAATGTTATACAAAAGGAAGGATTGAAAATGTGTATTGACATGAAGATTTCAAAACAAGTTAATAAGGATAAATCTATTGCTAAATACGAACTTGAAACATTTTGTGAACAATATGGTTTACCTCCGATTGCTCATTCGAATAAAAAGAAAAAAGCCCAACAAACCAGCAAATTTTCTAAATATCAATCCAGATTTTATAAAAACAAAAAATCTTCCAACAAACCTTTTCAAACAAATAAATTTTATGAAAAACCATCTCCAAACAAAAAACCTTTTCGAAAACCTAAAAAGGATTTTCAAAATAAAAAGGGAAAATGCTACAAATGTGGCAAATTTGGTCATTATGCAAATGAATGTAGGGTTAAAAAGGTTATTAACCAAATAAAAATCTCTGAAGAGGAGAAGGTTCAACTTATTCAGGCTTTAGAAATTAGAAATACCGACTCTAGTCAATCTGATAAAAATCCCGATTTTTCCGTTTCTGACTCTAGCAGTTCTAGCAAAGTCTCCTTGCCAAACATTAAGTTTGGGTGCACGGACACTTGTTGTAATAAAATTTCAGTACTTAATAAGCAAGAAGAACAAGAAGAGTTTTTAATGGAATTAATTAGTAAAGTCGATGATCTTGATTTAAAATCTTTTTATTTGAAAAAACTCAAAAATTTGATTTCTTCTCATGAACCTGGCACTAGTCAAACTTCTTCTCAAAACATTTCTCTTAGCACTACTTTGGAACGGTTTAATAAACCAAAAAAGGATTTAACCATCAAGGATTTACAAAAAGAAAGTAATCAAATTAAATCAGAAATTAAGTTTTTAAAATCCGAAAATACCGAAATTCGTTCACAACTCAGTAGAGCACGCACACAAGCACTTGTAGAAGAACAGGGCAATTCTTCTTCACATTCCGATTCTGATGCCCAATCAAGCAAATCCTCTTCTTCAAAAGATCTTGTTTTAAGTCTTTTAGACAAAATTAGAATTAGAAAATGGTATTCTAAAATCAAAATAGTAATTGACGATTTTTCTTTAGAAACTATCGCTTTAATCGATTCAGGTGCAGATTTAAATTGTATTCAAGAAGGGTTAATACCTACAAAGTATTATCACAAATCAACTGAGGTACTTAGCGCTGCTAATCAATCCCCAATGAATTTAAAATATGAAATTTCCAAAGCTCATGTTTGTCAACAAAATGTTTGCTTTAAAACTTCATTTGTTTTAATTAAAAATATTTCTGATCCAATTATTTTAGGACTCCCTTTCATCGCATTAATTTATCCTTTCAAAGTTCATCATAACTGTATTACAACTGAGGTTTTTGGCCAAAAAATTACTTTTGAATTTTACATAGAAACAAATCTTAAAAAGTTAAAACAACTACAAAAGTATAGTGTTTCAAAAACTCTCAACCATATTACTGCAAAATCTCAACAAATTGCTTTTTTATAGGAAGAAATTCTTCACAAAAGAATTGAAGAACAGTTAACAAACAAATCTTTATTAGATTCTATTCGCCACTTTTCTGGTAAACTTACTAAAGAAATTTGTTCAGATCTTCCAAATGCTTTTTGGCATAGAAAACAGCATATTGTTAAACTCCCTTATATTACAGATTTTGTTGAATAAAAAATCCCCACCAAAGCACGACCGATTCAAATGAACCAAGAAGTTTTAGAGTTTTGTAAAA